ATTTTTCGAATATACAAAGTAGAATAGACATAGATGATATATGTTTATATGTAACATCTAATTTATGATTTATAATCTACTGTACAGAACTGGTATCCTTGTTAAGAGGACACATTATTAGTAAAGTATTAAAATAATTTTATTAGATTTGTTTTTTAATCATTTTCATCAAATTGTCACCTTAACCATGTACAAAAATCATGTCTGAATCTCTTTTCAGCTTTAGACACCAGTTGATTATTCTATTGCTTAAATCCATATCTGGGGTTCATAGAAATTCGTCAAGGATTTAGGCTTGCTGCCACAGTTTCTGATAATCGTGCAAAGATTCTGTATTCAAGATTACGAATAAAATCTTCAGATCACTATATTTTTCTATTTAGAGCACTTGAATAACATGATTTTCGATGAACAAACAAAGTGTAACGAAACAATTCAACGATTGACCTATAAACTGAAATATGGCCAAGGAAACAAAAGTAAGATAAATACCATATGGTTTTAAGTCATTGCATTGGGATCACGACTTACTTTGCACAATCGAAAATCTCCGATCTTTCTCAGTATCTGCTTACTTCATAATCTGAATTCTTTGCGGACATACAACTAAATTTTCACATTGTCGAGCGTTTTTTCAAAGAAACTGGGCGGGTTTGCTGGAGAAATTGACAAAATTGGTTTAAACAGTTGATAGCGAGAAGAAATTCTAAGGGTTGAATGATCCATAATAAGTGCAAACTTGTTTTGTTGTTTCGACTAATTGATTCAAATTATATAATGACATGACATTTGACTGAAATAGTCGTCTCTCTTCGCTTGAAACATAAAACGTAAAGAGATGTGCTTCGTTTATCATTTTAAGAAAATTGAAGGAGGTAAATATAAGTTAGAAGCCGACAGCTTTTTCTCTTTTTGTGTTATGATAAGTAAAAACTAGAAAAAGTCACACCGAATGTGTGTGAAGTCAAGTTTTCTGAAAAAGTATAACCCCGTAAAATGCTTTTTGTTTTTTTATGTTGTTCATAGGAATATGCAATATGATATATGCGAAGTGAAAATTTAGTAATTGACTCTAACTGACCGCACTGCAAAATTGCTACGATTTAATAATGACAATTCATCAGAGATCATCAGATAGAATTGNAAGACTACAGTCATGTATTTCGAAGTGTCTTTTTTTTTATATGATAGCTCTAATTTTCCTCTACAAAAATATCTATTTCGATCAATTAACTATACACAGGTTTGTCACCGATATCATCAATTCATCAGAGATCATCAGATAGAATTGAAAATCAATAGAAACGCTGCAAATGAAGGCATTAGATTTTCCCATTGGCTGCGAGATCACTCATTTGCTTTTTGAAGGCCGAAGACTTTTATCTAGCTCCTGTCGAAAGTTATTCAAAGAATAACAATTGATCATTTATATTGAAATAGATAATATTATCTTGCTTGGTCAACATATATTCTATCATCTAAAGGAAATATAATGTTTTCCCTAATTGGTAACATGCTCGCATTTCAACTACCACACTAACAATAAGTATACTCGAATCTACCCCTAAGCAAAAGAGTCATAAGATAATGTAAGTGCTTGTAAAAGTTTGAGTAGTTCGATTGTTACCGAAGTATTGAAGACAGCTTCGAAAACTTGCAATATAGTAAAAGTGATTCTAAGTGCTCATGATGCGAAAACTTTTTAAGCTCTTAGAAACACATAATTTAAGCTAAAAAAAGTTACTGCTTTTTAGCTTACATTTCCACATGAGTAGTATGTGCAATTCTGCTTTTGGGATCAGTCCAAATAGTCGATAAATTAGTGGGCCAGATCTAACTGAGGTTGTGGGTGGGTGCCTTGGAACGAATACGCAGATAGATATCTACATCCACTGACAGACACACACACCAACACCCTGAATATGAATTAGTCTTTAAGGTGTTATGAATTCTATTTTCTTTAGCATAATTGTGTATATCAACCATTATCATAATACTCCAAGAATTTATTTCCATGTTAAAATGTATATTTTTTGTTCTTCAATTCTATTTTTTTCATCTCTATGTTATCTACGTATTATTTTAAATCAAGATAAATACATGTCTCTTGAAAATTGAATTACGCATCCTTCAAAAAAAAACCAAAAAATAATAACTTTTCTCTAAATCTGGTTATCTCATTACTGACTCAATTAGTATTGGACTACTCAGTACTTGAAAAATAGGAAGTATTGAAGGGTGTTTCAAAAGCTTCGGCCGGTCTCAGTGAATTGATGATATCGGTGACAAACCTGTGTATAGTTAATTGATCGAAATAGATATTTTTGTAGAGGAAAATTAGAGCTATCATATAAAAAAAAAGACACTTCGAAATACATGACTGTAGTCTTATGTTATGATTATTTTACTAACGTTTAGTGAATATTTTCATCTGACATTCTTTGAGGTAAACTTTTAAAAAGTTTTTTTTTTCATAATAGTTCTATGCTTTTTTCACGCATTGACCTTATATATGACTTAGCATTTTAACGGAATAATATTCATCATATTTGCTGATTATCATTGTAGTTTTGTAACACTATTCATATTGTGACAGTCTTATTTCATAAAGTTTACTGTTTCCAGTTCGTAGCTTCTCAAAAGAGATCGATACTTTTTCGAGTAATATACAACAACTTAATGATTAAGTAGCCAGTATGTTTGTAATGGTTTTTCTTTTAATGCGTAACTTCATGTGACTATAGTAGTTACTTAAAATCTAGCGCTATTAAAAAATTATCATAGCTATTTAAAAGACGTAACAGCTACTTTAAAAAAAATAAAACGGTTAGTGATGAGTTGAATAGCTGATTTATTTCTAACAAAATTTTGTATTGTACTTCTTCGTGTAACTAGCTATTGAACATCTACCATTATTTAAACATTACAATAACTATTTAAGCATTTTGCATGCATACTTACTAAAAGATTGAAATAGTATTGTAGCTATTTTTAAGATTCGGTAATCATTGAAGAAAACGAAAGATAAATATTTTAAATAATTAAAATTGTCACACTTAAAACTTTCAGAAGCATTGATTTTTCCTCTTTTTCGTCGTCGCTCAACAGAACTGAACGAGTTACATCAGAAAAAAGAGTACCCTGCATATTTAAAAACGGTATTATAATAGACAGAAGTTTGTGTCCATTATTATTACATTGCACAATAGTTTTACCTTAGCTGTTTACAGAAAATTGTTTTTTCAAAATGTATGATATTGTTTTTTCTCATGTGACTCGGCAAGCTATATTTGACCATGATGCAAAAAGAAAAAAACCAATACTTCTGAAATTTAAAAAAGTATGATTAGCTCTATAAAATGCACTCTTAAGCATGTCTGTTAGTTCTCTCCACAATTATATAAAAAAAGCTCCAGTGTGCATCCCAAAACCAAATAGATTTAAGCAAACATGAAAATGTCAAAGAAAAAACTATTGATATAATGGAAAAAATTTAATATTCAGCAAGATTAGTAAAATAATCATAACTTAAGACTACATTCATGCATTTCGATGTGTCTTTTTTTTTTAAGAACTACATATAGCTTTGTCACACATATCCTCAATTCTCTAAGAGGGATAGAAACTTTTCAATTACCCTGTAGTTTTCAACGATCAGCATCGAACCCAACGTTTGACATAAGTTCAAAGACAATTAGCTAACGAGTGTCATCAAAGCAAATGAGAAGCATCCTTAAATCCTTATTTTTGGCATTCTTCTTTTAAGGTCCTTATAAACATGCTGAAACTGATAATAAAAACTATGACAAACGTCTCTATGTTTTCCAATCGATAGGTAACATACTATTAGCATTAAACTTCTCAACATTTTTAAGAATGCTAACTCCTACAACAACCTCCTATACGTTCTTCGAACCTAGAATCAAGATTCAAATAGAATATTTTCAGTTTTTTTTTCAACGATTTAAGCTTATATAAGATTAGTATTAGTCTTCTCAGTATTTCACAAATACTTCTTCTCGAAAAACAAACTTTTTCCAGGAATCTCAAAGGATTCTCATAAGAATCGTTATCAAGTTCTTTGTTTTTGTTGAATATGAAACTAGGAGAACCTTTTTCTTATTTAGCGTATGTTAGAGAAAGACATTCTCGAAAGTTTTATCAAGTTCCTTTCGAAGAAGAAGAAGAGTATCTTATTCGTAGGCAACAACAATGATTATTTTCTTTTCTTTTTCTCGTTTATTGTAGTAATTCTCAATATTCCAGCCAATGCCCGATGGGCACAGAATGGAGTGACCGTTGCTGGAGGCCACAGATCGGGCAGTGCTGCCAATCAACTCTACTGGCCTTACGGTCTCTTCGTTGATGATGATCAAACGATGATCATTGCTGATGCGTGGAATCATCGTATCATCCAATGGAAGATGGGTGATATGAATGGACAAGTGGTAGCTGGTGGCAATGGCAAAGGAAATCGATTGGATCAATTGAATTTGCCAACCGATGTGTTGGTCGATAATGAGACTGATAGTCTCATTATTTGCGATAGAGGGAATTGGCGAGTCGTACGATGGGCTCGTCGTAATGCCACAACACAAGGAGAAATCTTCATCGACAATATCAAGTGTTGGGGATTGGCCATGGATGATCAGAAATATCTCTACATCTCTGACACCGACAAACATGAAGTAAGACGATATCAAATAGGAGACAAGAATGGAACTCTCGTGGCTGGTGGCAATGGCAAAGGTGCTCGTCTCATTCAACTCAACTCTCCGCGCTACATCTTTGTCGATCAACAACAGACTGTCTACATATCAGACAACGAGAATCATCGTGTGATGAAATGGAATAAAGGTGCAAAAGAAGGTATTGTCGTCGCTGGGGGTGAAGGCAAAGGGAATGCTCTGACACAATTGTCGTATCCTCAAGAACTTATCGTCGATACGTTGGGTACTATCTATGTGACAGACTCGGGAAATCATCGAGTGATGAGATGGCCTAAAGAAGCAAAACAAGGCACTGTCATTGTGGGTGGAAATGGTGAAGGAGACAGAGTAGATCGGTTCAGCTATCCCATGGGTTTGTCCTTCGATCGACAAGGCAATCTCTATGTGGTCGATCGGTACAATAATCGTGTTCAACAATTTTCGATCGAATAAACTCAACACGATCAATCATTTTTTTTCTTTTCTTTTCTCTCAAATAAATTCACGTTGAATTGATGAAAGCAATGCTTATTCTATTCATACGCGCGCGTGCGACCAGAAACCATTCTGGTGGAGTCGTGCCGTAAAGTGCGGCTTTTATTTTGATGAAGCTGCAGCGCGATTGCCGTTGGATCATGTTAGCAATAAAACTTGCTGGATTTTGAAATGGAAAAAAAGTCAATTTTAATGATCCCCTTCAACAGTCGTATCGTTTTCTCTTAAACCAAAGCAAAAGAAACATCGATTGAGTATTCATTATTGCAAAAGAAGTAAAATATCTTTTTTAGATTTTATTACTAATGAATTTTCATTCTAACAAAATCTTCGCTCACAATAGATGTTTCAGGCAGTTAATATAACTTTTGAGTGTAGTTGCGGGCGTGGATATGGGTGTAAGTCTTCAGTTGAAAGACACACACATCCACACCCCGACACCGACACCCACACCATCATCCTGACACCCTCACAGCCCCATCCGCACCTCCACACCTCCACACTCACATACCCACACCCCAAGGGAAAAAAAGCGCGACTTCAGTACTTCACTCGTACTTCACAATTGTGCTTGAAGTACAGTGAAATTCGAATGAAATACAAGTGAAGTACAGTGAAGTACGAGTGAGTACAGAGGAAGCACGGTGAAGTCTCGCTTTTCCCCACTTGCCACACCCACACTCTGACACCCCCACACCCATAAAAAAGTGAGTACAACGAAGCATCATGCTACAATATGATAAGAAAGTATCAGTTCTTTGCCTCAAACTCTATAGAATCACGTCAGTGAAAGTTCCTGCTTGTTGTGATTAGTCTAATTGGAAAACAAGGCATTAACTGAAATCATACGATCGCACACTATTATCAAATAGAGTAACTCAGTATCGATCGCAAGTCGCTGTGCTGTTAAGGACAAAATCAGAAATTTAGAGGAACAGACCAAAAAGCTTAGCGAGCGTCCTTAGTGATGATTTACTTCATTCTAATGCTTTCTGCTGATTACTGATTGCTTTCTTTCATTACTTCATAGTAGTTTCCGCATTGACTCTCTCAATTTCTAGCACTGTTAATGCATTTTTAAATCGTGATACTTCAATGAAATCGTCGAAGTAGCTAAAGCCCTGGTGAGCTCCAAAAAAAGATCAAACCCAATCCACTGGTACCTCCAATTGCGGAACCCTTGACAATCTGGGGAGCTGGGGATGCCATTGCGTATCCTGTTCTGATATTGAGCATTCCGACAACAATGCTGGTAGTACTCATAGCAGTTGCTAAAACAATAGTCTCGACTTGAATGTAGACGCTGGTTCCAGCCAGAGATACTACTGTACTTTTGTGAAACACGATCTGAAAGGAGTGTTGAAGTGTTTAGGGGTAGAAATTTGGACCCCCCCCCCCCCCCCCCCCCCCCCCCCCCCCACCCCGCCCCCCACCCGCCCCCCCCCGCC